CGAGCTGTGGTAATTTCCGGAACAGATCCACGACTTAGTTTAGCTGCTTGCGCAAGTTAAATCTAATACACCAAGATTTACATTCCTCCCAACGCAGCACCAACCCGAAGGTTATGGTGCACAGCAAAAAAGTCTAGAATGCAAAACCCCAGTGAGGATGCCACCTGTCGGACAACCAGGGTTTTAGAGCAGAGTGAAATCCTTCCAACTGATTCGTTACTAAACTCTTGCAGATTTCCCACCATCGTTATACACACTATCATTAACGTAATTATCTCCAGAATGAATCAAATCAAGATTACCAGTGCTCACTCGGAATTGGAACTAACATCATTCGATACTACGCTCCCGACAACGTGCTTGAATATTGTCTCCATACGTTTTACCAGCCGTAGATCACAATCAACTATGTACGACGCAGATTTTAGTTCTTTGGCTATCCACTTTCTCTTAGTCGACTTCACCTTCGATGTTTTGCGTTGCATAACGTGACATGGGCCCTTTTGCTGAAACCTGCCCCCAAAATCTCTGAAAACCATATTGGAACGCCATTAGCATTATCACTAACGATCGACAGCTCACAGTGCTCTTTAGGAGAGTCAAACATAGGTATCAAGTGTCGTAGAAGCTCCTCCGTTTCTTCATTGTTTCCGGATTTAGTGAACCGTCGACCAACGATCTGTCCAACTTCATTTTGAGATAGAAGAAGTATTTTACCAGCCGACACTTCTTCCCGTTTACCACTTTGTGTCCAATATTTTTGCTGCTTACAAAACTTGTCAAAGTGATCGATGCGGAGGACTCGCCGAACCTTCATGTTTTCATTAGATTAGTCATCTGTAACTTGTTGGCGATTCCATCCACCACCCGTCAGTGTATTTGACGTCGGAGGTGCGTTATCTGAACAATACTGAGTACAGCTAGGAAGGGTTGGCGCTGCGTAGTCTGCATTTCCCCTTCGAATTCGTCAACTTCTATCTGCAAAAAAAAAAGAGTATATAGCTTGTAGTAACGAGTTTAGTGTCGTCGCTGAATACATGTTAATGCACTCCAAGTCTATGTGGTGACATAATACCATCATGTATCCTTTGCATCATTTTATTTGAGAGGCCACATTTCACGGAGAGAACTAAAGGAAAACGAACATGGCGAAGCGACTTGCTGCCAACAACTGAAGATAGGTCGACAGTTAGAGAGCTGCAAACATCCTCGCTGTTATTCGATTGTGCTCGTATTCGTCCTTTCCGTTTTAATCACAACCAAAAAAATCGAAAATCAACGTTAAGGCTTATTTGTGCTATCGGAGCCCCAATGGATGGGGGGAGGGGGTACAAAAAGGCGGGTAATTTAACGTAGTCCAGGATTATTAGTCGCACTTAAATTGGATTCCTGTCCTTAATGTTAGCTGAGTCGATAGCCCAAAGACCAAATCTAGTAGGACCAAATGGGAGCACGTTACTGAGCTCGGATAGAGGGGGTGAAAATCTGTGCGTATCCGGTTCGGTTTTGTGTATGTCCGGTGAACCAAAAGAGCCGGAATAACATATGCTCCGTCGTCGTGCCGACGGATAAATTTCGAGAGCTGCTGTAAGATATTTTCAGTTGCG